CACCCCACCACCCCCACCCCACCCCACAAATCATATATTAAATCAATAAACTAACCATCTAAATAGCTTCAAAGTAAGATGGCCTTTAAACTCAGCCAGCCTTGTGAAATTTGTCTTGGAATTCTTTCAGCTGTGGCTTATAATCAAGATCTTAAGATAATCATTAGCATTTAGTTAATGAAGTGAAGTAAATAAGTCATCTGAAGGACAATGGAGAAGTCAATTTATTAACATTAAAAATTAAATTCTTACTGTTGTGTTTTTTTTCAGCATGCCCAGCCTTTGTGTCACTGGAAATCAGCCATGATGGAGTGACCAGCACCCCACTGTGTCAACCCTTGATGACCAGCAGTCTGGCCTTCATCAAGCTCCAGCTACAGCGGCCAGAGGTGGCCACTTGTGTGACCATCCGTCTGCACAAAGCACGCGACTCTATGACGATTGGTTTGTCACAGATCCAGCTTGTGGGCTACAGCGCCTTCGGGGACACTGGCAACGCCCCACAGAACATTTTCATGCCTACAGAGGACTTTGTGTCCAGGTCTAGGTAATGGTTATATGTCTTTCTTATAACTGGAAAGTACTTTACAATTCATGATAAATTGATAGTATCAACAGATCCCCTATCATAAAAATACAACATACAGATGAATAACTACAAATTATTATACAAGATTAAATTACACTGTTCAAATATTGATTGGCTCTCAATTTTATTATAAAGGTTATCCAGAAATTCCCTAAGTACTTGCTAAAATTTTCATTTGATTGTAAATGCTTTGCCATGTTGTGTTTCAGTGTGCGATGGATCCGCCTGCTTCACCATTGTATGACTGCCCACAAGGAGGTAGAGAGCCAAGTGGCCGCAGCAGCTGCCTGTACTCCAAACCTTCTTAACACGTGCTCAGCCCTTTTGGTCTCTCCCATGTCAAATGTATATGCCCCCAACATAGAGAATGTACTGCTCAATCTAGGACTACACTCTATTTCCATGGGCCTGGCTCTCATAGACAATATACTTCGGAGTCCACTTGGTCAAGCTGATGCCAATTCAGGTACTAGGATTTACTGATTTTCATTTTCTATTTCATTCTAATGTTACTGTTACCTCCCAGTATTCAAATGCTGTATTTAATAACTACTTCAATTTGAATTGAAATGGCTTTTGATAATATTCATGATAAAGAAAGTCCAACCCTATCTTAACAAACCATGTTGTGTTTAAGAGATATCTGATTATGCTCTGCTGTACTAGCTGATTTCACTAAGAGTTATTGTAAATCACTTTCTTTTTACACTATTATATTTTACAACCTATTCACAAGGATTTGAATTCCCGAAAAAAGAGCACTACTGCTTGATGTTCCTTGGTGAAATGTGTCTGAGTAAATGTTCATGAGATATTTGATTCTTCAATCCAATTTTTTCACACATAAACATTAAAAATCAATTTACAATCATTGATTTACAGTAGAAGATTTTATCATGATAAACAAGGTTTAACTATCTATGCCATTGCCCCATATTTAATAACTTACAATTGTTTTTTTAGGGATCACCACCCCCTACCTAGGTAAAGTGAGTGGTTTAGCCAATGACTCGACAGTGGAACTGCTCTACCAGCTTAGCACTGTGCAAGACTCCGGCACAAAACACAGGTTTGTACCACACTCAACCAGTTCTGTTTCGTTGATTTGACAAAGCTTCAGACTTTGTCTAAAAATTGTAAATCAAATATTTTATAGGAAGCTTCAGACTTTTAATGAAATATTCAATTAATGATTTTGAATATAGATGATGGAAAAAATGGATCCAAGAAGTAAAATTATTTAGAATAACTGTTCAGGGTAAAACAGATTTACATTATCCCTTGTTTGTACTGACAGAGTGAAGGCGTTGCTTGACTGGCTAAGAGACAGTGCAAGATTAAGTTTACAGAGGACCTCCATGTACTCCGCTGAAGGTTACATCCGAGGGTCACCCCTTTGTCTGCCAAGCCCCGCTCCCTCACACATCCAGTGTGTGGCGTCTGTCTTGTGGTACAGTCATGAGGCTCAAGTGGAATACAACCTGTCTGATCTCATTACAGTAGATCTTGTCAGGTCAGTTTTCAGCTATTTTCATGTTGTTTTTGTTTACATTTCATTATTTTTTCTTTTATCAATTTTTCAGATATATTTTTCAAGCACTTAAATATGACTTGTTAGTAAATTGAATTGAATTCCCTTCTTTATATGAGCATAAAACTTGATACAAATTTCTGGAGTGTGTGAATTGAAGATTTTTAGTTACATATGCAGTCTGAATGGCTTGTGTTTTAAGTAATTAACTTATTCTTTTGAGCAGCTGTATGTTTATTATTGTCAAATGTCCCTTGTTTTGTTATTGCAGTGCATTGTATGAGTGGTCAACAGTGTTAAAGTCTGACTCGGCACTGAAGAAGTCTGTTAACTATGTCCTGTGTTCTGTGTGTCACATCAATCCCGAGTATTTCTCCCAGCTGCTCACCTGGATGGGTGTGATTGTTAATGATGAGGTCAGCATGACGTCCTCAGTGTGCGATGACCGAAAGGATGGAGGATCACATCTACACCAAGAATGTCTGACAGATGACTCCAAGGAAGCTAACAGTATACAGCGGCAGCAGAGTCTGGGGACAGATAGTCCTGTGGTGGAGGACATCCCTGTACCAGGCTTCCGTCACATCGTGTTGGAGGAGGCTCACCTATCTACACTCTCTCTGGCCTGTAAATCACCTGTGGCTATCAAGCAGTTACTTGATTCTGGATTTCCAGCTGTGTTGGCACAAGGGTTATTTGAGTTCTGTAGTAAGGTGATGTCACACCTCACGGATGGCTTTGTGAATTTAGAAGGACTTACAGACACTAGTAAAACAATGAATGATGATGCGTCTACTTCAAAGGTCAATGGGGACAACGGCAATGATACAGGTATTATTACACTCATGGTTATTTTAAATGGTGATTTATTTTAGAAAGCCTTTCATACAATGACTGTTTTTTAGAAATCAGAACTGCTCTGACAAAAAATCAGTTATTGCCTTTTCTTTCGGGGAGGGTACAGGGGTATATAATATTCACTATGGAATAGTTAACTGATTTTACAAATTTACTACAAAGAAAAAGAAAAAAAAGAAAAACTTTGAATATTATCACATTGAATAAGAATTAACTTGCCTTTTTACTATTAAATGCATAATAGAGTGACAGGTATGACCTAAGAAAGGATGGGGACCTTTTAAAACATGGATTGCTACATTTAAGGATGAAAAAAAAAATCTTTGCATTTCAGACAATAACCTGTGGATAACTGCAGACATAGTAGCTGCAGTTCTCCAGTTTTTCTCAGAGGTGTCATCAGAGCCTCTTATGAAGGACTGGCTAGGAGGAGCCGAGGGCAACATTTTCTGGCCAGCCATCCTCACAATGTTGTGCAATACCCCAGTCCAGGCAACTGCCATCAGGAAAAACTCTAACCAACGGATTGAGGTTTGTTTTTTATTTATGTATGGAATCTGGAAAACAACGCTTCTAGGTACAAGGATATCTATTTTAGTAAAAATATTTTGAGGAAAAATATTTGAATGACAAAAATACTGCACTTTATCAGTGACAGATTTCTTTTATGAGAATCAGTATTTTCACTTGTGGTTTAGAGAGAAAAAGTGTGAAAAATAAATTCCACTTTCTAGCTTGAGGATGTACATAATTGATGATAATTTTGTATAATTGATTGTCCACAGTTGATGTCTCTGGAGGACAGGACAGCTATAGAGACAGCAGCTGTGCGATTCTTCACTCAGGTCACGTCATGTCACATTGTTAACCAGCTGTTGTTTGCCAAAGTTCTGTGTGAGGTGGTCAAGGAGCAGAACTCCACCTCCAAAACTGGTAGGTGTTATTAGTCAACAGATCTAGATAATAGGGTCTGTAGAAACCTTTATATCCATGTGTCGTATAGAGACAGGGACATCAAGTAGTATAACCAGCAATACAATCTGGCAAGTCTTGTTTCATCATAAAACCATCACTTTACTCTCCATTATTTTTTGTTCCAATTATTGTCTCAACTGTAATTAAAATCTAGAATATGCAATTGTATCCGATATTATTGGAATATGTTCCTAAGCTATGTGTCAAGGCATTTTGATTAAATCTGTATGATTTCTGACGGTTTTGTTTGATACACCTTTAAAGAGATTTAGTTGTGTGTTACTGCTGTATCATGTTTACCATTCAACTGTGTCTTGAGTTTACTTTGCTAATTTATCACTTCAAAGATATCCAATTTCTCACTGACTAACAATCATTCAGTGAACACACCTATGTTATATTTTTTCGCAAGGTATTAGAATTAGAATGATCCAGATCAGTGCATGGTAGAGTTAATTAAAGTTTCATAGGGGTGAAAGGGTTAAGATTCTATATTTATTACTTGCTGTATCTTATTTCAGATCAAGTTTGCAATAACTTCCCATTGTCTGCTTATTTCGCTGATCATTAATAAAAAGACGACTTATTTATTATCTGCTATCTTACTTATGTCAAGTGTGCGGTAACTTCCAATTATCTTATTTCACTGATTGTTACTAAAAAGACGACTTATTTATTACCTGTTACCTCACTTCAGGTCAAGTGTGCAGTAACTT